TGCATGACATTTAGGGAAGATATCTAGTCATAAACCATAACAGTAGCTTTTTATCATTTGTGGAACCGAAATTCTTTCTCAGTTGGTTTAGTGATCAATTGATGATTAAACAAACATTTCTTTACATGACTGGAACCAACACATCTTCTAGTCTGTGCTGGTCTATGTGCATGTCAGGGTAGACCCTCAGCACCCACCCTGGGACCTGACAGCTCTGCTCCTTAAGCCTTTGCTTCCTGTTCTTGAAAGTCTCCCAATCAAGCAGAGATGACAGCCTACGACATTCTGAAGTTTTTCTTGATCATGCACATAGCCTTGTAAGTGGAATTTTCCAGGGAATGACCAGATATGTCTAAAAATGACAGTTCTTTAGAAATGAATTTTTAAAAATATTCTTTCTTCTGCATCCTGTGATGTCAGAAATGTCTTTTATTTGTCAAGGTTCTGTGGACACAGAGAGTCAGGCATGGAACTAAGGAAAGTTAAAATTGTATTCTTCCCAAGATTTATCTGTTCTTTTTAAATGAGAGCTCCCTAGGTTACTGGTGTGTTATTTTGGTTTATGTCCACTGTCCTGAAAGGGTTGATTTGACACTTTGCCTCTTTTTTCTTCTTTGCACTTATGGAATGATGGAATTTCAGATGTCTTTATTTCCTTTGAATCTGTCTTTCATTTTTATTTTATTGGTTTTGTTTATAGATACTTATTCAAGATATAAATTTCTAGGGGTACAGGATATGAGGATTCGTGTGGTTTTCTATATTAATTCTATATTGCTTTCCATAAATATACCAGAGCATTAGCTATGTGAACATCACTGTTACTACAACATCCCATAACTTATTAAATCATGAATAAGTAGCTGATTTATCAAATATAAAATGAACTGGGGGCTGGGGATTTAGCTCAGCGGCACAGTGCCTGCCTTGCAAGTGCAAGGTTGTGAGTTCCATTCCGGTACCGGAAAAAAACCAAAAAAAGTAAAAAAGTAAAACGAACTGACTCCAAATTGTTTTGTTTACATTTTTATTATCAAAGAGCATGAATAATTTCCATATGTTCACCTTATCATTTTTACTCTCTTGCATTTGAAACTTCTGAGATGGATTCTTTACTATTATGGTTTTTAGCTTATATTAATGAAAATTGAAACATTCATATGTTATCGCTAGTTTTACTATATTTAGCTAAAATAAGTGGCCGTGCTTGTCTTAGTAATTTCTATCTTGATTTAAAGATGGAAAAATTGTCCTTTTTGAGGTTATATATTAAATAATATATAACTATGTTATATTCCATTTGTATATTTAATATATTTTAAGAATTTCAAAGTTATGTAATCCATCAGGAATTTACTCTGATACATTAACTTACAGATACAATGGCTTTGAGGAGCACCTGCTAATAATGGCTTGCAATAGAAGAGTCAATTTCCCTATGTGTGTGTTCCTAATAAACGAGTATGAGAAAGTTGGGCCTAGGGGCACATGCTTAGGGTTCTAGCTCCTTACGGAGCTGAGGCAGAAGGATGACTTGGGCCTGGAAGCTCAAGATCAATTTGGGGAACATAATGGTGTCCTGTCTCTATAAATAGATGATAGATAGGCAGATAGATAGAGAGATACGTACATACATACATGATAGATAAATGATAGATGATCATTTATATGATCATGATAGGTATAGATGATAGATACAAACATACATAGATGATAAATGATAGATGATAGATAAATGATACACAGATGATAGATGTAAAGATAATAGATCAATAGGTGATAGATATATACATACATACATATGTAGATCTATGTCTCATACACTCAGGTAATGGATAGAGATAACCAGAGTCTCCGGACCTCTCTGTATCCTTCTAAACAAAAATTCATGCCATCCAATATCTGGACCTTAGTGATGACAATTTCCATAATCTTCTTTGAAAGTTTTAACTGTAGTATTGTATGTATATATCTTTAAAGATTATACCTTAGTTTGGCATGTTTGTTAACTGAAATTATACTGTGTTAATATTTATGTGTTGCTGCCTTTTTTTGACTATATTAGTTGTCATCATGCATGCTGTGACTCTCTGTGGTTTAATATTATTGAGTTTCATTTGCTCTGTTTTCTTTTCCACACTAACACCATTCACTGTGTGCTGTTTCACTCTAATCCTTTCTTCTTTTGAAGGCCATTTGATTTAATTTCAGTTTGGCATTATTTTGAACAATGTTTCTAGAAGCATCCTAACATCCGATGTGTATATCCCAAGTGGTTTGTCCAACAGTTATGTAGCTATAGATATTTATTGACTTTATTAGATTATGCTAGATTATTGTTAAAGTAAAAATACCAGTTTACAGAGCCACAACAATTCTAGTTGCTCCATATTTTTTGCTACTACTTGACACTACTAGTAGACTTATAAATTACTGAAAATCTTCATGTTATTTAACCACATCTAATTATGATCTTAACTTCAATTTCCATGAATATTAATGCTTACGACCATCAAGATGTGGGCATATTTTTTTGTTTTGTTTTGTTTTTTGGTTTTTCTCCAGTACCGGGAACGGAACTCACGACCTTGCGCTTGCCAGGCAGGCGCTTTTGCCGCTGAGCTAAATCCCCAGCCCCAATGTGGGCATATTTTGGAAATGTCTGTCTAGTCTAAAAGAGAGAATAAAAATAAAACTCAGAGAGGACACGATAATCTAGATTATGGAAAAGCTCATATCACTACCACTGAGACTGAAGGAAGGGATGAGAGAAAGACACTGAAATTCTGGGGATTATGTAAAAAATCAAAATGCTGGAAAGTAAGACATTTACTTCCAATACCACATAATATCCAGTGCTTGGTATTTATGAACATGATCATTTGTTACAGGCTTCCTGGCTTATTGAATAATTATTTATTTATGCTTTTACTACGACTTCCTCATATATTTACCCTTAATGTCTTTGTCCACCCATTTAGATTTTCATTTTTCATCAGTATTAACTGTAGCTACAAATGGCATTTGTATTCTGAATGTTATTTCTGACAATATTTGAACAAATAAAAAGATTCTCTTGCATTTCTCGGGTTTAAGAATTTTTTATGATACAAAATTGTTCCTTGACACATTTGTTATTTGGGAAAGTACATTAAAATTTTCAAGTACCTTTGAATTAATTATGTGTGACTAGTTTCTAGTTGTACAGGAAATTGGTTAGATAACACAACCAGTTTCTATTTGTTAATTTTTCCTGATATATTGTTGTCTTGAAAATTTTTACTCCTCATGAAGTTATATTACCTTTAAAATGTTAAAAGAGTATTTTTTGCAATTTACATTTATATCAATTTTGTCTCATATTTTGCATGACATTTATATTTTATTTAACTATTCTGAATTGTATATGCTTAGCTAAATGATGTTGAATTAAAATTTTCCCTATGTTTTCATATTCCTCTTTATGCTAATAAATATATTGATTTCTAATATGATGTATTATTATACACATAAATTAGTAATTGTAGTTTAAGTTATAGAATAACTACATTATTGTGCTTAAGGCTCTAGATTTCCTTGTATTTTTTTAATTTTTTTTTTTTTTTTTTGGTTTTTTGGTTTTTCTCCGGTACCGGGAACCGAACTCACGACCTTGCGCTTGCCAGGCAGGCGCTTTGCCGCTGAGCTAAATCCCCAGCCCCTTCCTTGTATTTTTAATAATCAAGTTTCTTATTAAGGAAAAACTTGTGTACATTTTAATTACAGTTATTTTCCATATTATTTTTATTTATTTGGGATTAGTTCAGATCTTTTATGTAGATTACAATATGCTTCACTAGTATTCTTTTATTATTTTTATAGTTTTCAGTATTTCCTTATCATTTCTTGCATATTTGACAAATGTTTGATATTAATTTACTATCATTTTATTTTTTAATGTGCTTTGGATTCTAAACATTCTAAGTGGAATGATTAAGAAATATTAGCATAAAATGTTCTTCAAATATTTAAACCTTGTGTTTATGTATGTAAAATATTGTAATGTCTTTAAATAATTCATTTCACTTAATAAATTATATACTGGAAACATTAAAATCTTATAATTTTATGCATTTTACCTCTTCTTGAGGCTCATAATAGATTTATACAATATCGACTGTCTTCTCTGACTTTCTTTCCTCAGTGTATTTTGAGATTTTCCAATGTTATTATATATACTTATTTTTTTTCACTAATCAGCGTTATACCATTGTATGATTATAAAACACTTTTAAAAAACAGTTTTTCTAGCGTTTGGCATTTAGTTGTCATTTACAGTTGTGTCTCATTTCCACTCTTTCGAATAAGACTAGACATACTGTTTTGTGCTGGTTTATTTTGTGGATCTATACTTTCATTTCTTTTGGATGAAAACGCAAGAGTAAGTATTACTGCATGGTAAAGTATATATATATTTAATTGTAAACGATCAAAATTATATTCTTACACTTGAGAAATCTGAAGTACTTCACAGACTATAAAATAAAATATAAAATTCTCTTTTGCTATACTCTGTCTTTCCAGAGATGACCTGTCCTAGCATTTTCTTGATATAGAAATTCTACACACATCTACCATACCTGTACAAACATGTACCTTCCCTGTTTAGCAAACAAAAAGTGATAACAAAATTTACACAAAGATCTCTGCTTTGCCATTTTTGCTCAGTATTTTTGCTTAGGATACCTTCTAGATGAGCACATAATGATCCACTTTTTAATTTTAGTAATTTCATACATATATTTAGTAATTTCATACATATATTTAGATTACCTTCCTGTGATAGTTAAACAAAGAGAAAAAAAAACTGAAGGTTTTCTACTGTGGGTTTGGCTAATATTTCTGTGATAGTTGTTTTTGAAAAGGAAAACAAATTTCGCAGTAAAAGTTTTTGCACCTTGCTAATGTTATAAATATGTATAAACTATTCTCTGAAATATGTGTGTGTGTTTTTTTTAAAGACAATGCCGTATCACAAGAACTGGTGCTTGTTAGTGCCCCTACAGAAGCGGCTGAAATTTTTCATGAAAATAAAAGGACAAATACTGAAGGTGAGGACTGAATAAAAATCATATAAGACACTATGAATGCTCTTTAGTTTATGATATTAATACTGAATTTTATTAAGAAGAAGTGCATATCACTGTTAGCATATAAATGATATCTAATTTAAGAATATAATATTGTAACATATCCATAATATATTCTTAATATCCAGTCTGAGCTCATACAATTTATATAATTTTAGAAATGAATGAATTTTTAAGCATTTTTATTTACCTATGCTATGTGTGGCAGGCAGTACCACAGATAGACCCTTTCTAGTTCAATATAGAAATGTTTCTTGGAAGAAAGAAAAATATTTTGGGGGTAAAAAAAGTGACTTTTTTTAGTGAAAATCTATAGCTGTTATCTCCTAAAATGTTTCTAACATGGTATGTGGACAGAGGTGGAATAAGAACACTAAAGAGTTATTTCATTTGTAGGTGTTCATTCTAGTTTCCTCTCAGATCATCTTGGTGGAGACTTCTTATATTTATAAAAAAATTATTTATGATTTGGGTTATTTCAACTCTTTGCTCGTAGTTTATCAGAATAACATATGAATAAGTAACAATTATGATTCTTTTATCTGTTTCTTTCCAATAGACATCTTGAATAGAATTTTACCAACCTGATTTAGAGTTCATTGTCTGTATTTATTTATAGGCCACAATTCTGGACAGATTTTTAAACTATCAAGTGAATGATATATGAAACAATTAATTCCTGACACTGGGATATCCATGTGCTATTAAAGTACAGAGATTTCTAGGAAAAGATTCTTACAAGAAATGTATTATCTAGCAGACCAAAGAAAATATAAATAGATGTAACAATTTGTACAATTCAACAGAAATCAATGGTTTAAAAAAGTATGAAGGGAATGACCCAAGGTAGCACATGCCAAATAAATACCATGGATAAGACATATCTTCAGTGTTTTGAGAAAGGCCTATTTGAATAGTTTCCAAGACATTAAGATGAATGTTCAGGTGAGAAGATATTGGAACTGAATCATAAAAGACACATTTGTATATTAAAAAATGAAGGAGTTGATTCATGCAAACAGAACTGCATGTGTCAAATAATAATGGGAAAGAAGTAACTTGGTGTAAGGGGAAGATAGATGACTTTGATGATAACATAGGCAGGAATCCCACATGTGGTGATAGTTGTTGAGTATAAACCTAGAAGTTATTAAAGTACAGCCAAGGAGCAATTTTTATTTTGGGCTCAAGAATGTGAACTTTATTTTTTCTTTCTCAGTCCTTGGTCCTAAATATATTTGATAGTAATGTTATATGCCCATATGCTTTGTTTTTGGAGTCTAAGCCTTTCTTGCAAAATTATTTGGCTACAAGAGAAAATATACAAACTAATTATCTTATTATTATAGTTCAGACTTATGGTAACAAGCACCTGGCCTATGAAGGATCATAGGATATGAAAAGGATTAGAAAAATATTACAAGAAGATTACGGAGATTAGAGAGGATTCTTAATTGCAAAGGAATTTAAATTTAGTGTCTAAAAAGTCCCCATAGGAGCTGCCTGGTCCTTACAGATCGGATATAAAGACTTGAATGTGAAACGGAGGATTCAAAGATGATTTAGCTGTTGGAGACTTTCTTAACAAAAAACAAGATGTAAGAAAGGAAAGAAGGCTGAGTAAAATGAGCATGAGGTTAGTTTTATGAATATTAGATTTGTAAATGAGCTGGACCTTTCAAGACTACCTCTGAATTGCTGACCTTGGCAAAATCCAAATATTTAAAGCCAAATGGATTGGGGCCAAGAATCAGTATAAACAAAAAGTTTTGTTGTGCAACATCTTAACTGTCTCGTCGTCTTTATATGTCAAAATTTTTGCATCTCTTCTGTGACTCAGGCACAGTTCTTCCTACCAGCAGTGTGTCAGATGCTTCTCACCTGGGCACTCCCCCAGATGCCTATGTCTCCCCCTATGTCTGAGCACACAAATGTTTCTTTTTCTCTGTAGCCTTTCTTGCTTTGCCATCTTGGCTTACTGATGTGAATTTCTTTATTTCTTTGTCTATAACATATAAATTTCTCAACTGGTACATTCTATTAGAAAAAACACAAAAAGGAGTGCAGAAAATTTACCTGCCTAAAACATGGGAGTATTAGATTCCTACATTCCAGTTAGCTGGCATCTTTTCTCCCATCCTGCACAAGAACCTGCAAGTTCACCCTCCCCTTCCCTGTAACCAGTGCTATGTTGGGTCTAGGAGATAATTGCTTGATCTCAGTTGTCCATTTCTTAAATTATTAATTTCTTTAGTTGCCATACTTACAGGGAATATGAGGAGTAGATGAAGAAGTTTGGGAAAGTTATTAAATAAACAGCATATTTCAAAAAAGTGTTCTCTACAGTGTTTTGTAATATAGAGTGAAAAAAAGGAGAAAGGTGATATGTGAAAGCCTACTGAATTTTGTTACTGGAGTATGGATAGTGATCTTTTTATAAAACTAAACTATTAGGGTAAAATTTAAATATGATAAAATCCACTCATTTTAAATATACAGCACAATGACTTCGATAAACATGCACATGTATTTGGCCACAACTTCCCAATAGGATATAGAAATTGCTTTCCTTCCAGAGAGTCCTTTAGGCCCTTTTATAGTTCCTATCACTTCACACCCTCCCAACAAACACTGGTGGATTTTAGATTTCCATGCTTAAATTTCAGATAAGCAGAATTATTCTGTTTGTACCCTTATGTCCAATTTCTTTCAAAAACTAAGGAAGATGTGCAGTACATCTATACTGTTAACATCTATACTGTTAACAAATTGTTCACTTTTTGTTTTACAGGAGTAGTCTCTTGTATGAACTCTGCACAACTATTTTTATTTAGCAATTAATAGATACTTGCAATTTTCCAATTTTGGGCTATTATGAATAAAGCTATTGTGATCATGTACATGCAAGTGACTTTGTGAACATATTGTTTACCTATTGTTTACTTATCACTAAATACATGGAATTAGAATGCTGATTCATATGATAAATGCATGCTCAACTTTTATAAGGCATTGTCAAACTGATTTTCAGAACATATTACCATTTTCCAAAGGTTTTATCATTTTTCATCGCCCAAAGTAACATGTGAGTTTCAGTTATTCTACATTCCCCCTAATACTTGACCTTGCTAACCTTTTTAACTTTAGGCATTATCGCAGCGTGTGAAGTGGTATTGAACTATTAATTAAATTTGCCTTTTCCTGATGACTAATGATGGTGAGTGTTTTGTCACATGATTAGCACTCATTTCACTATTGTAAAGAGTCCAAGTCTTATGCTTTTCTTCTGGATAGTAAGTTGCAAATTCTCTCTACATATTCTGAATACAAGTCTTCCCTTGTGTGATTTTATAAATCAGATGTCAGAAGGCACTCCACATGGATTTCAGGGGTTCTTGTGTGCACTGCTTTTCTTCTCCAGTTACTTGCCCTGAGGATTCCAGATGTTTCCACTGCCCACAAAACTAATTGCTCCTCCAATCAAGACTGCCACATTCTGCTCTGCTCTCAGATCTCTGTATCACAGTGGGAAAGTCTCCCTTGGCAGAGAGCTCAGTGACTGTGGGACTCGACCTCATGAATTTCCCTGTTTTCAGAAATCCGAGCTTTACACTGCTTGTTTTCTAATGTCTGAAAACAGTTTTCTCATATTTCCAGTCCAGATTTAGAGCTGATTATGATGGAGGTCACATTCTGTATGTGACTCTTTCATTGTTGGTCATGGAAACACTGCTTAGTGGGTTTTAGGAATGGAGTTTCCAAAAGTTGTAGAGAACAGAACATAGATTATAACATTTTTTAAATAGAAGAAATTATCTACTCCTTTATTCAGCAATGATTTAAAGGTATTAAGTATAGTTGATATCCCTAAAGAATGTAAAACATAAGGAAGAAGGACACGGAAACAGATCATTGTGATGCAGTAAAATGCAATGTAACCAGCTGTAATGAAGAGAAACAGAACGTGCTAAAGATCCACTCAGTGTATGAAAGAATCAAGAATTCCCTCTAGGGAGGAAGCAATGTAAGATGAACCCGAACACTAGTACAGCAATTATAATTTGAAGATGAAAACAGGGCATGAGAATAATCCAGCTGCTGGTATAGACGGCTAAAATATGCCAGACATAACAAAATTTCAAGATGGAATAATGGCTACAGGAAGTGGTCAGGCAAAGTAGTTAGAAGATCTGAGACTGCTTGTGAGAAGTAAAAGTAAATGTTTTGAAACTTCAGTTCCTTGAAGAGACCAAAGAGTCTGGCAGTGAGTAAACATTGAACACTAACTTTTGTACACGGGGAGAGATTGGTGTAAAAGTAGACCTTAGTGACCTTGAACTCTGAAGAGTATTTTTTACGTTCAATGATAATTCTCTCCAATGATGTAAGATCCAATAGAAATATAATCCTAATGTCAGTGAAAGGCACTTTTTATCCATGTTCCCTTGTATAAGAACTAAAGGGAGTTTTGTTTCTTCTGTAAAAAATTGAAGACTTTTTTGTTCATCACAAGAGGCTTTGCAGAGCAATTATTTCTAAACTCAAACTTTAGTTTATTGTATACTTTGAAGAGAAAATCAAGATGCAAAAACACAACAAATTGAGGAGGGATTTATATTCAGTTTTTCCTTAGAATGTTGAATTGAGATAAAAAGATGCTACAGTAATTAATGTGATATATATAAAGGAAACACATCTTAAAAGCAGAAAGAAAGGAAGAACTCTAGTGACAAAATGTGAAATTGCTGGGTCTGGATAAATTAATTATGTAAGGATCAAACTCCTAGAATATGGAGAGTTGACAGTTTATAAATACAGCATTTCTGCTTCCTTTGCCCACACATTCTGCTCATCCATAGTTTTCTTGAAGTGGAAGGTGCAGGCTGCTGTCAAAGCAAGCCTAAATTCTGACTTACACATGGGAAAAATGATCTTATCTGTTGTGGTCTGAGTATGAGCAAGAAGACCTGGAGGTGGGGGAAGCTGTTTAGAGAGATGAGAGTCCTGCCTGAGCTGAATTCTTACATACACATCTGACCATACGTGTACAGGCTTGCAAGGAGTCCTATCAGTATTTCACTAAAAGCATTAATTGATTATATCACAGAATCTTAGGCAAGACAGATCTTCACAACACACTAACAACTCATTCATTTAATGAGAAATCTGAGGTTTAGGTCCTAGTGCTACTTAAGAAGTATGGCTAGTTTTCAGTCAAGTAAAAAAAAAAATGAACGTTTACACCTACATGAGTGATCTTTGACTATACCATATTATTCTTTAAACTGTATGTTATGGTTTATATCCAGATGTGCCCTCAAGTGCTCATAGGTGGGGTCTTCTCAGAGGTGGCTGGATCTAGGGTGTGTGCATATGGATTAAGGATGTGTGGTACTATGTTAGTCTACTGATAGGTTTAGCATAATTCTGGCTGTGGATAATTGGAAGACGCATTCTGTGCGTGGTTCGCACCACCCTAACCAAGTTAGGGCTCCTAACCTGTATATGACAAAAGAGACAGAAGGAAGGCTTGGTACTGCCACCTCTTGCCTGCCTTGCATGTACTCCTCTGAGATGAGTCTCTTCCGTGCTCTCCTGTCTTGGAGCCAGCTGACTGTGGATTAAACCCCTATGAACTGTGGGCGTAGGGTGTTTTGTCTCAGCAGCAGGAAAGTAACTAAGACACTGCATAAAATGAAAAATAAAAAATTTAACTTTTACTGTGCCCCTACTAGGATATAAACAGCAATAAGAACTCCTGGATTCTGGTTTATCTTGTGTTGATTATGTCGTCTTTTACAGATTTTAGTGTAAATTTACATTCATAGTGTATAATTTCCCCTAATTCATCATATGTACAATCATAATCCATAATGCCATAAAGGGCTGTGGTAATTAATTACTATTCACAAGATAACACAAAGAATGGCCCAGTCAAGAAAAATATGAAATGGATGTTTACTATCCCTGTTTACCCTATATTTAATGAGGCAAAACTAATGTTTTGATTATAACAACAGCTGTCTTCTCATTAAATGTGTATCAAAACCTTATTTCTAGAGGGAAAGCAAATTGGTTCTTATCCAGATGATTTAGGTAGGTGATCAATACTTAGTTTTTATCATAGTGTTCTTTGGCTGTTTGATTACTGTGGAGGCAAATATCTATATATTTATTTATATAAATATATATATTTATTCATTTATATATTTATATATCTTTATATTTATTTTGAACTGGAAAGGAAAAACGAAATATAACACACAAAATGAATAGTCATTGCAAGTATAAGTGTTCCAGGAATGGCCAAATCAAACTAAAATATGTTGTAATGTCAGTATTGATACCCGGAAGGAACATTCTAAAAATAAAAAATAAGCACTCTGTGAAACATCTGAGATGCCCTGAAATAATTTTTTGGACTGCTTCTCTTTAGCTTGTTAGACTTTTAACATACAAAAATAGCCCTTAGAGTATAGCTTACCTTTCACTAACCAGGGAGATATTCCAGTACTGCTCTCCAACCTACCAGCAACGTAGACTTGGATAAATTATATAATTTCTCTAAACCTTGATTTGTCCATCTATGAAATTAAGACCATAATCCCATTTCTTTAAATTGTGAAAATTTCATAAAATGTGGCATTGCACTACTTAGTCTCATATGTGGCACATATTTGTAGTCTCAAAAACGTTAGCCAGTATTAGTCATGAAAACATTAGCATTAGTTAGCAATATACATGTATATATATATATATATATATATATATATATATATATATCATAGTCAAAGATATGGGATAGAATAACAGTTTTATTTGCAAAGGAAACAGATACATCATTTTCATAGAGATTGTATATCTAGAAGGGATACTCTAAGCCTTCATTTAAAATTTTTAAATGATGCAGTTTAAATGAAGATATTGAGTTATTTACCATCCCTCTAGCAAAGCACTGAAGCAAAATGCAACAGTGTTACTTCTCTGTTTCCCAAGGTCAACTGAAATGAGGTCACCACCCTGTTCTCATTGAGACACAGGGCACATTTTGTGCCTCCTATTTAAGATCAGTGAATGTAACTATAATCTAGCCCACTAGAGTCCTAGGAGTAATAAGGACTGCAAGTAAGCACTTTGGTGGAGTTTCATGGACAACTTTGCTGTACTTCGGCAACCTTCAGTTGATCCAGGACATGCCAGGTTTAGAATCACTGAGGCACATCAGACAGAGTGGATTTTATGATGAGTACAGCTTGAATGCTGTAGTGAAAGCATCAATCACTCTTCGCATGAGACTCCAATTTTCAGAAATGGAAGGTAGAAAATGAGGTTATTATGAGGATGAAGGAGACCTGCTTTTATTTTTTTTTTCAGCAAAAGAGATTCATGCTGGATTTAAGGAAGAACTTTTTCAGTGCATGAGTAATTAGGTACTATTTAATTGGAAAACGTGAAATCATTTTGAAGCGTGTATTTAAAACATTTTTCAGAGTTATCTTTAGGTGATTCAGGATCCATTTAAAAACAAATGAATTAACTGAGGGGTTTTTCTTCTTTTTCGATGTCTATTTATAATGATATGGAGCACATTAAATCTTTAACTCTGCTTGAGGAATTTCTCGGGCTCCACAGGTTCATATTTATTTGTCACATTATTAAGTCATCATCAATTTTTCTTCTTTTAGTTTATTTGTATGTTTATTCTCTAAGTTTTTGACATATTTATGAATCATTTATCAAAGAAACTTTGAGTATAAATACTAGTGAAGCAGAACATTTTTTTGCATATCCTGAACATCAAGATGTATTACTTCATATATAACTACTGACTAATTCCTGTCTGCTTACATTTAGAAGTAAATACAGCCATTTACTTTAACTACCCATGTCGAAGGCAGAGCTGTGCTCTAGTAAACATCCCAGCACCATGTGTCAACAAAATTATTTCACACATTGAAAATGTGGAGTCAAAAATACAGGATCATTTGAAACAGGTAAGTGACTTATTTAAAATGCTAATATTAAAAATTCAATAGACTACATGGATTTGTTATTTAAATGCTAAAAGGAATTATTTTTATTTTAAAAATGGTAATTAGAATAATATTTACAATTTTGACCCAAGATGTATAATTTTCTAGTCTGGACATGTTTTTGATAGTCTCACTCCAAGAGGGTGAAGTAACCTTATTAAATAGATTTTTTTTCCCCTACCTTCTTGTTCTTTATCCAGAGGCAATCATGCTAGTAGTAATTTTCATAAGCCAACCTGACTGGTAAATTAAATAGTATTTACATTCTTTTTGGGACACTAAACTGATTAAATGATTAGGATGAGTGAATTGGGGTACAAAAGGACAGTGTGGCCTTTTTAATGAGTTGTTTTGTTCTTAAGAAATACTTAATAGGTCTGTTGAAAGAGAATATAGTGGTTCTTTATCTTTTTAACCTGCTGAACTTGACTTCATCACCCTGAAGGGAGCTCAATCTTTTAATCACTGAAACTTTTGTTATTTTCAGAGGATGATTTAAGAAAGAGTTAAAAAAATAAAAAACTTTTCTACCTTTATCAAGATTATATCTCTCTGCAACTAATGCAGAATTGGACTGTCCAAACAGAGGCATAAGTTTGACAGGGACTTCCACTATTTCTTGTTCTTTGTTACTGTTACTTGATCTGGTTCAGAGACTATCCTATGGGTCATTCATCATTATTAGCCTGACATGTCATCTCCTTTGGGAGGAATTGGTACAGCCACTGGGATCCTAGGCTTTAGAGCAGCATGTTCTCTGACTTTAGATGGCAATGAAGAGAAAAGGACAGTATGTTAGGACAAATTCCAGGAAAAGACATGCACTCGATATAAAACAACTACCATTATTTCTATGTTATTTAATATTGTTCATTCTCTGCTTCCTCTATATTTCTCTAAATCAGAATACTCCTTCAGAAAATGTTTTGCATATCACAAGACTGATGGTGTTCTAGGCCTTGAAGAATATTTTAAGGAAAGAGAAAATAATGAATATTCATTGATACAATATCCTGTACACTTTGTCTATTGTAATTAGCAATTATCCATCTGCTAAAATGATAAAAATAGATTCATAGATGCTTTAAAAAACAATTTTAATAGCTACCATTTATCAAAACCTAATACAAGTTGACACCATGTTTTACTATGTTTTTCTTTTAGAACTCATAAAATTACTGTTGATTGTCATTGGTGTATCTAATTAGTAAACAGCAGTTTAAAATAGTTTAGCATCTTATTCAAGTTCACAAAACAGAAAGAGTGGTCAAACACTGTCTGTTTACAAACCCTACATCCTCCTAATTCCAGTTGGAACACTGAACGCTTGACCAATTGCTAAACTTCTTTGATAATGCCCAGCTGGAAGATCAACTTAGATAAAACAATTCACAAAATAAGCCATTTCACAGTTTATTTTCAGGAAAATTTAAAAATAGCTTTTTCATATGTAAACAATTTTGTATTTTCTTTTTTAAAAATTCACTTCTTTTTTATTGGCTATGCAGATTAATGGGTTTTGTTTTGGCAGATTTGTATATGCACATAGCATACTCATTTTCATTTCTGCATCAACCCTCCCTTCACCCTTCACTAGCCAACTAATTTCACAATTTTGAGTAAGTTTCAATGTCTCTAATAGCTTCACACATATACCAAGAAGTGGGATAGTTGGATCAAATGGTAGTGTTATTTTTCATTTTTTAAGGAATCTCCATATTGATTTTTTATGGTCACTGTATTCATTTACATTTCCACCATCAGTGTAGAATACTTCCTTTTAGCCTTCATCCCCACCAGTTTTTTTTTTTTTTTTTTTTTTTTTTTTTTTTTTTTTTTTGCTCTCTATGATAAACATTCTGACTGGAATAAGGCAGGATCTCAATGTAGCTTTGATTTGCATTTTCCTAATGCTTAAGATATGGAACAAATTTTTCTTATATTTATTGGTCATTTGTACTTCTTCTTTTGAGAAGTACATGTTCAATTCATTTGTCTGTTTATTGATTAAGCTATATGATTTTTCATAATCACTAACTGAAAACCTGTCTTCTAAATCTGACGTTCTGTCCTCACATTGGTTGATTCTGCTGTCTATACATTTAAAAGAATTTTTAATCTCCTGGGTATCTTTTTGAAACTTTTTATGTTTCCATTTCTTTCCATATTGGACATTCATGATTTCCACCATTTTCCTAAATTCCTCTTTTTAAAAATCTGTATCTAATCTAGATTCACTAACCATGTCCTTCATTATGGCCATCGTCTCTTTAGTTATCTGAGAAATGATTTCCTATTTGACTTTTTCTAGAGCTGTATATCCTCATTCACCTGCTTGCTTTGTTAGTTCCACGGTTATCATTTCAGAGAGTTCAAGAGGGTGGCTTTTGAATTTTTCTACCCCACTGTCCCCTAGGTTTACCTTGGGTGATCTGGAAATCTGGGATTGTATCTTTTTTCTGTGTCTTCTCACTTCCTAATTTATTTTTTTTTTTTTCAGTTTAGTTTCTGCATTGATGCTTCTAAATTGCTTATGGTAAGCTTCTTTATTGCTAATTTCAAGAACTCCTTAGGAAATGACAATGGCTCCTTTTCAGAGATGTTGCCTAGGTTTTACTGGCTTTTGGCTTTTGAGTCTGTAGCAAGATGCTACCTCTACAACTTATTGGGAATGAGAAGTTCTACCTACTTGGCGTAGTCCCTGGTTCTTTACCACTGGCCTATAGTGTTGCATGTGACACTCAGGCAATCTCAGTCTTAGCATACAAGGAAGAACTGATTAGAACAAGTACATCATCTCCCCTAGAATAGTACAATCAGTAATAGTAATAGCATCAAGAGTAGCCTAGAAAATGACAAACTGGTAAATATTTGCCGCACTTAATCATATGAACAAGATTTGTAGTTATTTACAAAATGTGCAACAAACCAGAAAATTGTGTACAGTAAGTATTCCCTCAATATAGAGATTTTCCCCTTAGATAAGAAACTTTAAAAGAGTTAAGAGGAAAAAAATAGAGAAATAGAAAAAGAGCAGATATTAAAAGCAGGGCTGGAGGACAAAAGAAGATTATGCAAGCTTTGGGAAATGTGAAGAAGATAGGGAAAGAAAGAGAAATAAGAACAGGACAAAACAAAAACAATGTGGAAATATCACTCACTCATAAAATAGGAACAAACAATCAAGAAAAAGAAAAGAAAAAAATAATAAAAGGAAGAAAAATGCCCACTTTAGGGCATGCCTCTGCTGTCACTGGTAGACAAAGAGATCATGTAGAGTCCACATGTACATTGCAAGCCTACAGTAAAATTATAGCAAGATGGTGGATAATCCCAGCAAACTTGCACTTTTAATTTCACTGAAGTTCAGCCTGATCCTGGTTTCTATCTGTGAGGAAGAGACCCGAGTGGTTCAGCACATAATGTTCCAGGTACCTCTTGCCAACTTGAACTGAACTCCCTGACCCTCAGCATCTCTCATTGCTGTGCCTCACCTGACACTGGAAGCTCTGAGATAGAGCCAACCCATGGCTTCTCTGAGTCCGGGGTTTGGTTGGCCCCTTTCCAAAATGATGACATGTCAATCACCCTATCTTGGGGATGTTTGAATCAGAATCACTCACCAACCACTGCATCCTATGTAAGCATTCATTGTTTGATTTTACTGGTGTGTTTCTTCACGGAAGCCTCTGGAGTCAAGGGTAGTCACACCATGCCTCTCTAGGTTTGAGATGCCTCTCACCTGCCATGAGCTGGGATTCAGGGAGAAAGTGCTGTTTTGTCTCCTCACTGTTCTGCATTGAGGTCCTCCTCTTTGCTCTCCCCATGGGCTCCAATTCTTGCTTCAGAACCCTGCTAGGTCCAAGGGACTCTCTTCCTTCCTTCTCTTCTCATGCTGCTATATTCCAGCACCTGGATGCAAAATCTTGGAGAGGCTTTTTCTTTGATGTTAAGATTTTTGAGCTCTTTATGTAGTCTATATTACTTCTCTTGGAAGAGTAGCCTGCAATGATATTCACGCATGCTGTAAGCTGTCTCTTTACTCTATTGGTTATTTCCCATGATGTGAAGAAACTTTTTTAATTTGATGTAATCCTATTTATTCTTCCTATTATTACCTGTGCTGTTGGAACTCTAATCAGGAAATCTTTCCCTCTACCTATGTCCTCAAGTATTTTTGCTATGTTTCTTTTAGGAGTTTCAAATTTTCATGTCTAATATCAGCATCTTTGATCTATTTTGAATTGAAGTTTACACAGGAGGAGAGATAGGGTCTAGTTTCAGTCTTCTGTAAATTGATATTGAGATTTCCTACCATGATTGGTTAAAGAGGCTGTCTTTTGTCCAACTATATTTTTATCTCCTTGGTCCAAAATCAAATTCTACAGCTGTATGTACTTTTTTCCATGGGTTATATTCTGGTCCATTGTATCTTTCAATATCCATTGATTTCCATGTCTATTTTTCTGCCATCATCATGCTGTTTTTGTTACTATGGCTTTGTAGTTTTAAATCGAATATGGTGATTCCTAAAGCCTTGCTCTTTTGCTAAGGATTTCTTTTGGTATTCTGGCTCTTTTGTATTTTCATATGAGTTTTATGATTACTGTTTTTAGTTCTGTGAAGAATGTCATTGGCATTTTGGTGGGGGTTGCATTGAATCTATTTACATTACTTTTTGGTAAAATGGCCATTTTGACAATATTCTGCCACCCTATGAGCATAAAAGGTATTTTGCTTTTCTGATATCTTCAATTTCTTTCTTCTGTGTTGTGAAATTTTTATTTTAGGAGTCTTTTACTTACTTGGATAGATCAATCCCTAGATGTTTTATTTTATTTGAAGCTATTGTAAATGGAATTGTTTTCCTGATTTCTTTTCCAATTCATTCCTTATTGGTGTGTAGTACAACTGTTGATTTTTCATGTTGGTTTCATATCCTGCTACACTTATCAGCTCTAAAAGTCTTTTAGTAATCTTGAGAGTCTTCCAAATATAGATTCATAAAAGTGCAAAGAAGGATAATTTGGCTTCTTTCCTTCTTATTTGCATCCCTTTTACTTTTTTCTTTCACCTAAGTGCTTTATCTAAAATTTCAACTGCTACATTGAATAATAGTGCTGAAGGTGGACATTCTTGGTTCTTTCTTAATTTGAATGGAAATACTGTCAGTTTTTCCCACTGTGAATGATACTGCCTGTGGGTTTTTAATATGTGGGCTTTGCTCTATTCAGGGATGATCTTTCAATATCTAGTTTCTTTATGGCATTTTTCATGAAGGAATGTTGAATTTTTATTCTGGCTTCTATTTATGTGACACATTACATTTATCTGCTTGTATATGTTGAAATGTTCTTACATTGCTAGAATGAAAACAACCTGATTATAGTATATGACCTTTATAATGATTTGCTGAATTCAATTTGTAACTATATAATTAAGGACTTTTACATCTATGTTCATCAAGAATGTGATCCTTTACTTTTGTAACCTCTGATTGTGGTATCAGGATGGTGTTCACCTTGTAGAATGAATTTGAAAGCATTCATTCAATTTTTTATGGAATAGTTTGATGAACATGGGGGTTATTTCTTGTTTAATGATTTCTTGTTTAAAATTTCACCATGCACCTTTCTGGCTCTAGACTTTTCTTTGTTGGTAGAGTTTTTATTACTTCTTCTATCGCACTGGTTTTAACTGTTTCCTCTCTTTTTTTCTATATCCTCTTGGTTCAGTATTAGTAGACCATATGTGTATAGATAGTCATTTGATTTTTCTAGATTCTTCAGTTTATTAGAATATAGTTTTCAAGGAATTCTTAGTTAATCCTCGGGATCTCAGGGGTGTCTGTTGTAACATTTCCTTTTCATCTATAAATCTATTGATTTGTGTCTCCCTTTCTTTTAAGTAGTTTGGCTAAGGGTTTATCAGTCTCACTTATCTTCTCAAAGAACCAATTCTTCGTTTTATTGAACCTGTGTATTGTACTCATAGACTCTTCCTCATTAATCTCAGATCTGATGCTTCTGACTTGCTTCTTGTTGAGTTTTGTTTTGGTTTCTTCATTTTTCTAAGACCATAAGACATGGGATTATGTTATTTATGAGCTCTTTCTGATTTTTTTCATGTAGGCACTCATAAGCTTCCCTATGTACACTGCCTTTGCTGTATCCCAGAGATTCTGGTACACTATATTTACATTTTCATTTGATGCTTTAATTTCTCCTTGCTTTCTTCAATAGTTCACTGTTTAAACATGAATTATTTAATCTCTTTGTTTTTGTATAGATTCTCTGATTTCTTTTCTGGTTGATTTCTAATTTCACGCAATTATGATCTGATAAGATGCAAGGAGTTATTTCAAAATTTTTGTTAAGGTTTGCTTTATGGTCTAAAATATGATGAATTTTGATGAACATTTTGTGACCAGCTGAGAAAAACACTTATTCTGCAATTATGAGGTGAGATGTTCTGTAAAGATCTGTTAAGTCCTTTTGACCTAATGTGTAGTTTGACTCCAATATTTCTTTATTGAATTTTTGTCTGGATGACCTCTCTATTGCTGAGAAGAAAATGTTGAAATTAAGCACTACTTTGAATTTAGACATACATGTCCATTATTTTATTTGTTTTATGAAATTGAGCATATCAATGTTTGGTGAGGTATATTTACAAATACTATATTTTCTTATTGGATTTTCTCCTTTATTAATATATTATGGCTTTGTCTCATCTGATTTATTTGGCCTTGAAGTCTGCTTTGTCATATATGAATGTAACTATTTCTGCTTGCTCGTGGTTTTTATATGCGTGGAATATTGTCTTCTATCCTTTCCCTTTTAGTTTGTGTATATCTTAACTTGTGAGGTGTGTTTCTTGCAAGCAGCAGAGGTGAATTTTAACTCTTAATCCATCTTCTAGTTTCCATCTTGCAGGTGGGAATCTAAGACCATTTATACTCAGAATTATTACAGAAAGGTAGGTTTTAATTCTTTCAATCCTGTTTGTTAAAATTACTATTTGACTTTTGATGCTTTCCTAATTTTCAATCACTTATCTAATTTTCCTCTTCTATGTGGGATCCTTGTATCTTTGGCAACATTGGCTTAGTGGCTATGAATTTGGTTAATTTTGTCTTTGAAGGTTTTATTTCTCCTTCAATTTTTAAGGATAACCTTGCTGGATTCAGTAACCTAGGTTAGCAGTTATTTTCTTTCAGGAATTGAAATACATGCTTCCTTGGCATCTTGGACTTCAGGGTTTCTGTAAAGAAGTATGAAGATATTCTGATCGGTTTTTTTTTTATAAATGACTTATGGCTCCTCCTTTCAGTAGTATTTCTTTGTTCTGTACTTTTGCCATTTTAACTGTAATATAATGTGAGGACATTCTTTTGTAGTTGTGTATGTTTGGAGTTCTAAAGGTCTTCCATACCTTGATGTCTATGTCTTACCTAAGATTTAGGAAGTTTTTTTGTTATTACTTCATCAAATATGCTTTCTGTACATTTAGTCTATATCTCAGCATCCACTTCTC